TGGCATGTGATAGGTGCTCGATAACTGTAACAGACAAGTGGATGGCAAGAACTTGACCAGACTTCCAGAAGGCCAAGCTAAGGAAGAGTTGCTAGAACATTAGAAGTAGAAATAATTCAATTTTATTGTTACAAGTACTTTCGATGCTGGGGATTGAACCCAGGACCTAGTGCATGCAAAGTGTGTGCTATACTACTAAGCTACACCCCCAGGCTAGAAGTGGAAATTATTAACCAGCATAGCAGAAGCATGAATGGAGTGAAAGATGGATGTGGGAGTAACAAAGGAAGGCAAATAAAGAAGGTCTGGTGACAGAATGACTATGGCAGGAGGGGAAGGGAAAGTCAAGGATGAATCTCAGGCCTCAGGTTTGAGTTTTGAGCAACTGGGTAGATGAAGACATGGCTCAGTAAGTAGGAAAATGGAAAAAGGCAGGTCAGATTTTAGGGCAGATATTACAAGTTTGGTTATGGATTCCATGAGTCTTAGGTTCAAACGGGCCTTGGAAGTAAAGTTATTTGGTACAGGCCATGCAACACAGAGTGTAACATACAGGTTTGGCAAGTGAAGCATAAAAAGCATATATGGCCAGGGAGAGGGAAAAGAGAGAAGAGACACAGACAGAGACAGAGACAGAGACAGAGACAGAGAGACAGAGAGAGAAATCGATTCTCAGGGAGGCAGAGAGAGAACCAAGGAGAACTGATAGCAGAAATGCAAATTCTGACAAACCTCAGGGAGGAGAGGATGTGAAGGAGGGAAAAAGTGGGCAGCGGTGCAATAATGCTGACAACTCCTATAAGAGAAGAAATGGAACAGGCCCACTGGCGACTTTCAAGAAGGCTTCTTTGAGGAACCCGGCTAATATGGGTTGAGAAGTCAGGTCAGGCAATGAGTATACACAGAAGGCAAACTGAAGGGGAGGAGGCAGCACAGGAGGATTTAAAGCATTGTTCAGGTAATAGAGATGGGCTGGGTATGATAGCTCCCACCTGTAATGCCAGCTACTCAGAAGGATGAGGCAAGAGGATTGCAAGCTCAAGGCCAGCCCAGGCAGCTTAGTGAGACCTTGTTTGAAAAATGAAAATAAAAAAGGCTGGCACTCCCTGGGTTTGATTCTCAGTATAAAAGTCAGGAAAAAGAAAAAGAGAGTCCTGAACATATTTAAATCCTTCTTAGATATAATCTAATTCTATTCTTTACCAGTACTTATACTGCTCTAAGGCACAAATGACTCAATGCCTCAGACCTGAAACTGATAGTAATTCTTTTTTTAAAAAGTGCTTTTAGAAGCCAGTAGAGAGGGGGCTGGGGATTTAGCTCAGCGGCATAAGTGCCTGCCTTGCAAGCATGCAGTCATGGGTTCAATCCCCGGTACTGATAAAAAAAAAAAAAGAAAAAGACAAAAAAAACTTTAAAAAGGAGCCAGTAGAGAGGCAGAGAATCAAAAAATAGCATTTTTTCAATGCTGGTAGCTCAAAGCTCAGTATGGCTAGTAATGAACTCACAGTACTTCCGTACACATCCTTGAACTTGCTTTTCATGCTTCTCATCGCAACCAACAGCTCATCTGCTCAGCACCCTGGAGAGCGACCCTCCGTGGCATTTCAGTCAGTTACTGACCACACTGTCTTCTAAACATGGGACTCTACTTCTTCCCTTTCCTATACCCAGTATCCAAGTTCAGCACTAAATCTTCTTCCACCTGGACTTCATTCTGTCTGTCTCTACTTGGCATCTCTACTCTTCCAGTGTTGAATTCTCATGGCTTCCAAAGTTTTACTTTTTAAATTTTTTTTTGCCAATATGGACCCACTTGTGTTGCTTTTACTTTAAAACAATCTCTGAAGGCTACCATATTTGGAAAGGTAAAATCCACCTGCCAAGCTTTTCCAGCTCTGCTTCCCTCCTACACACATCCTCAGTGAGTCCTGTGTGGCTTTTTTGCTCTACTTTAGGTACCCTCCTATCCTCAAGTCTAGACCGACTCCTTTTCTTAGGACTCCTTTCTCCACCTGGTGAATTCTGCAGGTCCAGATCAAATGGCACTTTTTCCACGAACCCCCTCCCTGACCTCTTCATCCAGTTCCAATCACATCATAGCAGGAATCACTCCTTACTATGACTCTTCAAAGATTACAGGTTAGTTCTTTCCTTAATATACACTAGAGGGAGAGAGTAACTGATTCATTCTCACACATATTAGACATCAGTATGTCTCTCTTGGAGATCGAACTCATGACCTCATGCTTGCCAGGCAATGCTTGTGCCACTGAGCTAAATCCTCAGCCCTAGACTTTAGTATGTTTGTTAGAGAAATCACACTGACTAATGGACAAACTAATTTCATGTAATGAAGCACATTCTGCTACTCATCATCACAAAATTGGATAAAATGGTTACAATTAAGTGAATTCCAGAATCAGCTTGGATAACACATGCTTTCCTGTCTCTTCTAGTGACTTATTGGAGGCGTCAGAATGTCTTCTCAACACTATGGCTCATTCTAGCTGAGCTTCATGGTCTGAAGCTTGTTTGCTTCATTCTATCTTATCTACCCAGTAAAGGATACCCACAGGACTCACACCAGACACTGGGTATATCAAAGCAAAAGACAGCTGTGTGATGAGAGTACTTGCAGCCTAATAATCAAAGCAGTGGACATTTATCTTGTAAGGATTATGGTCAGATGCCATGCTAATCATTTGTCCTCACAACAATGGTGCCAAGTAGGTAGAGTTTTTTCCATGCTAGGATAAGGAAACTGAAGCTCAGAGTGGCCTAGTCACTTGCTCAAGGTCAGTGAGGACCCCGGCAGATTGTTGCTTTGGGCTCCACCAGTAAACTGTGCCTCTCAATATGCTTGCCTTATGTGGCCCTGTGCCATACTGACTCAGGGCTTGGCCATGTGTTTTCCTTTGGCCAGGGAGACATTAGCAAACCGGATGGAGGCAGAAACTTGATAAGCAGTGGTACCTTAGAGTTTTCCTCTTGGGATACTCCCTTTTGGGATCTAGATGCCAAGAGAAACTCAGGTCAGAGTACTCAATGACCAGAAGCTATGTGTGGAGAAACCTAGAGGATGAGAGGCCACTTTGATGTTCAACTTCTGTCAGTCTCCTAGCTGCTGCAGCTGTGAGAGAGATTCCAAGTAGGAACAGCAAAATCCATAGCAACAGCCATAACCAATCCATAGACTATGAGAAATATAGTAATAAGTCATTGTTGTTCAAAGTCTCTAAATTCTGTATTGGTTTGTTACATATAAGTGAGTGCCTGAAACTCTGACAAACTAGAATTTGAACCCACTACTACCTGACCAATCTCTTAATCTTAACATTATGTTACTTCTGGCTAGGAGTAGAGTATCATACCAACCCTGAAATATTCACCGATAAGCCCACAATAGTACTCAATGAATATCTGTTGAATGAATAAATCTTTAGCAGAAAGGCAGAAAGATCTAGGGAATTCTAACGCAGGATAGCAATCACCTTTCAACAGCCATCACCACATTCTCATAAATATTCGTATACAAAATTAACATAGGCATTCTTAGATCTAGAAACAACTATGAATATTTTCTCTCTCCTCCCCTCTCTCCATCTTCATTTTCTTCCATCTCCCCCTCCTCTTTCATATTTAGATAACGTAAAAGTTTGAAGTTAGTGGTTTGCTTTTGAATGGTTCCTGCTCCATCCTCAAATCTGTCCCCAGCTTTCCACCATGTCCGTGGGATTTTCTTTCCCTTGCACTTGGTTTCCAGGGCCAACAACTTTCTTCCTCTTTCCATCTAAAATCCACATGCAGGAAAGGAGCAGAAAAGGTGGAAATTATAGACATGGGGGAGGAAGGTTCAGACGTTATTAAATGGATTTACAAGTAAAAGTAATGAAGCCCTAAACTGGGTGCTTTGAGGAGGCACGTACCAGCAGGTGGAGGTATTCTAAGGATGGGGCAGCAGCTGGAGATGTCTATACCCTGACTGTGCCTATGCAGTTGAAGAATAAAGGAATGCCCCCTGTCTCTCTAATTCCTGCTGACCTCCTAAAAACCCTGGGCTCTGGCTCTGTGGCCCCAACACTTGTACCTGCAGAATAGTCATTCCAACCTGGTGAAGACCCACAAGGATTAGTGCAGCCAGTTCTCTGCTTCCTGGTTGTCCTGACACCGCCTTTTGCATTCTAAGGTCTCCTCCTGTTCCAGCAAACATGCACACACCTCCCAAGGTCACACACACAGGCTCCAGCACCTGGATCCCACATTCAGAAAACCATCTAGGTCCTTTGCTGCAAACTCAACCTAAAGGAGAGAGAGGAGGCCCCAGGCACTACTCAAAGACAGAGTTCAGGCAGCACAGGCACAGTGACAGTCTCTCTCTCTCTCTCTCTCTCTCTCTCTCTCTCACACACACACACACACACACACACACACACAAACGCAAAGCAATGCAGCGGGGCCCACACATCCAGAGACACTATGAACACAGTCATCCCCACAGACACTGGGGTGTGAGGAGCCAGAACCAAGCGTGCACACCCATGTACACCTCCAGAGCATCACACGTGCACACCGGCACGCACCGACACCCGCACAGGTGTCCGGCCAGGCCTCAGCTCCAAGCCCCTCCCCCACTCCCTCAGGAGCAGGTGGGAGGGCTGGGGTTTTGGGGGGGCTCTCCCTCCTTCATCCTACTGTCCCTGGCTTTCCGAGGTCCAGTGTCCCGGTGGGGTTCTGAAGCCGCCCCCGCCCCCAAACAGGATCTGGGAGCGACAGGCTGGAGGGGGGAGGGGAAGCCTGGTCTCAAACCGTTCTGATTTCAATTCCTTAAATTAACTCCTTCCAGCCTCTGCCCGGGCCTGCCCAGAATCCGAGTAGGGCGGCCTCGCGGGCCTCGGGAGGGCAGTAGGGAGGAGGCGGGGAAGGAGGCAGAGACTGGGGTCCTCCCCGCCTCGCCTCTCCCGGAGCGGTCCCACAGTACGCCCGCGACTCGCCCTTACCTCCTCCACCCCGTGGCGAGGCCAGGCACCGCGGCCCTGGGTGGGGGTGCAGAGGCAGCCCCCGCGTGCCAGGTCCAGACGCAGGGCCGCCTCGGGGCCTCGGATCGCGCTCCCCTCTGCAGCCTTGGGTGCCACCGCTGCTAGCGCCCCCGCCTCCCTTTCGGGGCCCGGGCGGCCGAGCCTTCCAGCCAGTCGCAGCGGGAGGGGCGCACTAACGGGGTGGGGGAGGGATGGAGGAGGAGGGGAGGGAGGAGGAGAGGGAGGAGGGGGCGCGCGGTCCGAGGACAGCCGGGGAAGGGGGAGGGCGGCGGCGCGGAGGTGGGGCGGAGCCGGCCCCTCCTCCGGGGCGGGCTTTCAAACGAAAGGGGGAGCGGCAGAGGCAGCTAGGAGCGACTGCGCCGGGACCCCACGTTCTCCGCTGAAGGTGGCTTGGGTGGGGGAGGGGTCCGCGGCGCCGCCCTGAGGTTGCAGAGACCGCCCGCGCCGCGCTGCTCCCGGGCACCGATCTTCCCGCCTGCAGAAACCGCCCACGGCACTCACTTCTCTGCCCCTGGCACCTCCAGCGGTGGCTTCTGCTGCCCACCTTACTACACCGCGAGGGCCTGCACTCTTCTGATCCGAAGTCTACACAACCGCCCACCCTAGCGATCTGACCGAAAGGGGACAGGCAATGCGCCCTGGTTCTCAAGCGTCTTCTTGAGCAGCGCGCCTGGGTCGTGCACTTGACAACCTCTGGTCAGACGAAGCCTTCCCAGAGTCCTCTTGGAATGATCCTCTCTTGGCGGTGTTCACGGCTGGGTTAGGTCCTGAAACGGGCCAGGACTCAATCTTGCATTTATGGGGTCGCTTTGAACGTGTCTCTCCATGTCACAAATAGCCTTCTGAACACAGAAGGAGAGGGGCAGGGAATGTGGCCCTAGTACCCTTCCAGCCAAACCCACCCACCACTTGATTAGTATAGAAACCAGGCTCCACAGGACTGGAGCACCTACAGTGCCCCCACCCTTAGTTTAAGGCCTATTCAGCTGGTGATGCAGGAACAGTCTGGCTGTCCTAAGCTTGGAGGAAGTAAGTCATCAGGGCTGGAATGGGCCTGAGAAAATACAACGTTTAAGAACAGGGCTGAGCTGAGGCTTGGATGAGGAAAAAGAAAGATGGTATTTTAACCTAAGGGTAATGCATGGGCAGAGCTGCACACAAGGCCTTGAGGGACAGTCAGACTGCAGCAAAGGAGAAATCCAACTTAACCCCAGGATTCTCCAGAAAATTTGAGGCTGTTGAAGACATCTACTGACCCTATCCCACTCCTGTAAAGGTTGGAGACATCTTGACACTCTGTGTCAAGAAGGATAATTAGTAAACTTGTAAGACATCTTTGGGGGAAAGGGAAATTTAGTAAGGACTGGACTAACAGGTCAAACCTCCCACCTCCCCATGTTCTCTTCCTTTCTGTAGCTCCTGAGTTTTACTTCTACTTCTTCTCCTCCTCCTCCAGGAAGTCTTCTTAAATTGAGCAAATGAGAAATCACTTCTCCTGAAACTTAAATGCTAATAATGCCTATGAACCACGCATCATGCTTAATCATTTTATGCATATCATTTAATCTTTCTAATAAAATCTTTCAAGTAAAACATGATTATCTCTGCTTTGAAGGTGGAAAAGCTAAAACTCAAGAGCTCAACAAATGGCATGATGTGGTTTTGAACACAAGCTAGTCAACTCCAGTCTGCTCAACCACAGAATTCTTTGTCATACTTTTGCTACACTTAATGAAGGCCACTGAACCTTCTCCTGTCAAAATGCAAATTCCCTAAATCCACTTGTTTTTTCAGGTAGCCAAAAGTAGCTCTATATTGTTTTGGTTCCACTTTTGCTGTGATAGTTGTCCTGACTCAGTGCATCCTGTGAATGTGTGGAAGCAACTGGGGGCAGGCTGCATATGTATATGTGTGCTTTTGTGCACGTGTATATGTAAATGCATGCATGCACATATATATGCAAATTTATACCTGTGAATAAGCATGTATACAAAGGATCATGTATGTGAATGCATGTGTGCATACCTGAATGTGCATATGGGTGTGCATGAGTACATATGACTGTGTGCATGTATGTATTTATATACATAACCAAAGGCATATGTATTTGTACATGTGCATATGTTCCTGGGAATATGTATGTAGGTCTGCATGTGTGCATGTACTTATGTGTGAGCATGCTACATTTCATAGACAACAGTTCCTGCTTGGTTGTTATGGGAACCACAGTTCTAAAAATGTTAAACTGAATCCCACTCCATGTAGGCCAAAGAAAAACCGAGAGAGAGAGAATGAGAATATGAGGCTGACTCTGACTCAGTGGAAAGCCCATCACATCTGGGGTCCCAGAGGAGAGGCAGAGACTTGCCGGACAGGCCTGGACTAACTAGAAGCATGGCCCCACTCTACTCATGGGGCCCCATAGTTGGACCAGCCTTCATTCTGTTACATTGCATCTTCTCTTCTCTGGTGTCATGCTTCCCAGGCATATTCTTTCTCTTCTTCCCTATTTCTTACCCTTTTCCTTTTGAAGCTTTGTGCGTGTGGAAGGGGGAATATCAACTAACCAGCACAATAATTAAGTGCTTAAATGAGCTGGGAAGTAGGCCTGGTGGTGTGGGAATCAGAAATGTGGACCAAAACCAGCTCAAGGGTGGGAGTATTTGGGTAATAGGTGGGGAAAGGAGACAGGGCAAAAAAGAGAGATGGTAGAGGAGGTTGGAGGACAAATTTGAATCATATGTGGAATGCCGTAACTGCAATCATGTGCATTTTTGTAGAAGATGGAAGCCTTCCACATATGAAGGATACTCTAAGGAATTTTCATCAGTAGTGTACAAAGCATGATTACAGACTATGGTGAAGAAGTAGAAATAAAATGTATTACTTAAAAGACACATTGCGGGGCTGGGGATTTAGCTCAGCGGCATAAGGGCCTGCCTTGCAAGCGGGCAGTCGTGAGTTCGATCCCCGGTACCAATAAAAAGGAAAATGACAACAAAACAAAACAAAGCAAACACACACACACATTGCCATGAGTTCTCCTCAAAGTACTCTCCTTTGCTTTGAACACATTTATCCCGTTGTTCTTGCCACTTTCTGAAGCAGTTCTGGATGTCTGTTTTTGTGTCTTTTTCATAGCTGCCTTGATGTCCTGAATTGATTCAAACACTGACGAAAATTTCTGTCCCATAAAAACATTATAGCATGCCCCATCCACCTCATCTGGTACCATGTGACAGGTGGCTCTTCTGACCATGAAAGGTAAACATTTTCATGGCAGCTATGACAGTGCAACTAAAAATACAAAAGACTTCCAGAACTGCTTCAGAAAATCATATAAATTGTGGGATAAGTGTTTAAAGTGAGTATTTTGAGGGAATAATGGAAGTGTCTCTTTTACTGTAATAAATTTTTAAAAATTTAAATGCATATCATATTTTTGATCACATCTCATATACGTACTGGTTTTAAAACTCAGAGGCTCAGGTTTAAGGTCTACTGTAGTCTCTTACTATGTGCCCTTATGAAAATTCTCAAATCTCTTGGCCTTAAGTTTTCTATACAGTTGAAGGTGTGGATGAAACATTCTTACAGGCTCCATCCAACTAAAAGGTTATTATGTGCTTATCATAGCCAAGGTGTGTGTGGATGTGGAAAGGATGGTATAGACCAGTAGTGGGGAACCTATGGCACACATGCCACAGCAGGATGTTTGTATCACTGAAAGCTCTAAAAGGTTCACCATCACTGACATATACTGAGGTGCTGGCAACAGGCACACAGAAGATGTGGGAAATAATTTAAGTAATGGAATCAACATCTTTTGACTTCAATTTTCAGCAACATTGTCAAGTGGGTATCTCAAAGACTTGCTACAGACTTTGTGGACTGCTTCACAAAATGCTTAGTTGAGTTTGCTAGAAAGGAAATAAAATTTATATAGATTTTTAAAAAGGGAAATGAGAATAAGAAATGTGAGCACAAAGTGTTTTGAGACAAACCCCTGAAGGAATAAGAAGGAATCTGTTGCTTGTCTGTCCTGATCTGCGCTCTTTATGCAGTACAGTGAGTTACCTTTGAAAAAATTTAACTACTTGAGTTGGAGTTTGAAGTCAGAATACCTGCAAGGTACCAGAACTCCAAGCCAAGAAACTAACAAGTGACTGAGTACCATCAGGTGATACTCTTTAGAGTCCCTGGCAGAAGCAAACATGAAATTGTACAGGAGAAACATACTTTCAACCTAGGCCACAGAATATTGCTACTCAGGTAAATCCCCACTGAAGATGAACTCACAAGGTAAAAATCACAATATGTACAAGAAAACAGTGTGCCATAATGAGACTCAAGAAGACCCTGAAGGATGTCAATAAGATCCACTGTGCACCTGCTTCAATATGTGGGTGAAGGAGGAGGAAATGTGATTTTTAAAGAACTCTTGTTATCTTATGTGAATTTAGAGATCTGAACAAATGATTGTCATATTAATGGGGCCTGGGTAAATGGATGATTTGATTTTATATAAGTTGTATCTGAAATGGTAGTAGGCACCCACGGAGAGATGGTCTGATCTATAGTTCATCTATGTGATGGTTAAAAAAACTAGGAATTAATATGCTAAGGACAGAGTTGAAATGAGGAAATAAAGAATTAAAAACTGGGTTTGGAGAGATGCTCATATTTTGAGGGTCAGATGAAATGAGTAAGTAAGGAAAAGCTAGTTCTCCAACAGCTCCCAACTCTGTTTGGGTCCTGGATTTGAGATGATTTTCTGATTATCTGATTTTATTCTCTCCATCTCTGGCCTAACACGCTTTCCCCTCAAGATCCCTAGGGAAAGTGTCAGTAAATGGGGACACAAGAGGGACTTCTTGGCTAGGAGTTCTAGAACCAGGCTAGGCTCCAATACCAGGCTACTACTAAATCACTTCTTTCTCATCAGTTATGCTAGGCCTAACATCAGGGTATGAGGACAAGATGGGACATAGCAGAGCTGACAACACTTGATGGAATATAGCTGAGGGGTAAGGGTAAGGGCCAGAGGTCAGACACCCACAGTCTATCTACATTTTTCTGTTTAGGCTGTGTAGTCTGACTAGTTGCTTAAAATATGAGCATTTATTCATTACTCGACTGCACATGGAAAGCAAGGCCAGATAGTCCATGTCTACAAATTAATGATCTAGTCACTCCACTAGTTAGATGACGAGTGCCACCATTATCTTATTCTTTGGAATCTACCATTTACCTATCACATTGCCTGGCAACCCATCTTTTGAGTCACTTCATGGGTTACATATTGACCCTGCAAGCTACTCTTCTAAAATGCCAATTATCCTAGGAGAGGTAGC